GATCATAATAAGTAGTTAATACATGTTTGATGACATTGAAATAGTGAATAAGGATTTAATATTAACTGTTTGCTTTATGTCTTCATAGCCATAAACTGAATGCAAAATTTCTTATAAAACAAATGGGAGGTCTAAATTATGCTGGCTGCTGAAACAAATGCAAATATCCAAATTTCAGTGTCTTAGCATAATGGGAGTTTATTTCTTGATCATTGTGCTGAGCAGAATTCTAAGATGGCCCCAAGATTACTGCCTCCTGCTCTGCATAATCCCTAGAACTGTGATATGATGGCGTTTACTCCTGTGATTGGGTCATCTTTCATGGCAAAATTGCCTAAGAAGGGGAGATTATCTGGGGTGAGCCTGACCTAATCAGGTAAGCCTTTAAAAGAGAGTGGAACCCAAAGACAGAGATTCAAAGTGTGAGGAGGATTTGACACAAAGGAGATTCTGATCTGAAGATAGAGGAGGCCACATGGCAAGGAATGAGGACCGTCTCTAGGAGTTTACAGCAACTTTGACCTGACAGCCATCAAGAAAATGAGGACCTCTGTCCTACAACTGCAAGCAATGAATTCTGCTAATAGCCTGAAGGAGCTGGAAGTAGTCCTTTCCCTTGTCAAGCCTCCAGATGAGGGCGAAGCCAGCTGTCACTTTGATTTGAGCCCCGCAAGACCGGAGTGGAGAACCCAGCCACACCGGGCCTGGACTTCTGACCTACAGACTGTGAACTAATCAAAGGATGTTGTTTTAAATAGCTTAAGTTTGTTACACATTAGTAGAAAACGAATACAATCATTTAGCAGTCTAATATAGGTAGTGATGGTTTTCTGTGGACATTCTAGGACCAAGGTGCAGCTCGGCAGCCACCTAAGGGCTGGATTCCCTGGCGGGAGAAAGAGACAGTGGAGAGGGCATACTATATTCACTTCTGAAAAATCCGGCTGGAATGGAGCAAGCCTCACTTACACATACGCTGTGCACAAAGAGCAGTGCCCATGGTCTTTGTAGCAAGGTTGTCTAGTTTAAGGAGCTTTTCTCCATGGATTTGAGCATTGGAATGCTATATTCAGTCACTGCTGTGGTAGCTCAAGCAGGCTCTTGCTTGGGAATAAAGTTTGTGAACTAATCTATAGAGAGTTGATGAAAGAGTGAGCATAATTCACTATATGCTACCTGGTTTTGTTTTGTTTTTTACTTTTTTTCAAGATAAATTTAGTATGTAGAATTTTGAACTTATGAAGTTAGTAGAGAAGGAAATGCATTTGTTTTACATGAACTTTAAAAAATTTTCAAGATGGAATATATAATCTTCTACATGATCACTCCTATTAATTGATCTCCCTTGCTTTATTTGATATCATAAAAGTCTAGACAAAAGGAAGTTATAAAAACTTTAAATGTGCCATCAGGCAGACATTCTTATGTCCCAGGAAGGGATAGGGAGGGGTAGGTGAAGAGAAACAGGGAGAAGAACTGCTGATAAGACCAAAAAAGGGAAAATGAATTCCTAAGGAAGGCCAGTAAATCTCAGGAGGTATGACGTTGCTGATGAACTGGAATATTCCAGATGCCACAGTGACCGCCATTGCTTCATCTCTTTCTCGTCCAGAGGTCTCATCTAAATCTATCCAGGGTTTATTTTTTCTCAGTGACACATTCCTCCCTCCCTCCCTCCCTTCTTTCCTCTGTCCTCTTTTCTCTCTTCCTTTCTCCTTCTTTCTTTTTCTCCCTGCCCTCCTCAATTCCTCTCTCTTCCTTTCCTTTCTTTCTCTCTCCCTTCCTCCCTCCTTCTCATTCTGTGTCAGGGACTGTTCTAAGAGCTGGAAAGTTGTAATACTCACAGCAACCTATGAGGTGTATTATTAACTCCATAACTGATGTAAAGCCAAAAAGCAACTGGCATAAAGAGATTAAATAATTCTGTCAATATAACTGAGGGCAGAGTTGGGATGACTCAAGGTGGTCTAGTCGTGTCATTCCTCTACCCAGTGTCTTCTCTGATTTCCGATTGCCCATAAATTGCATAAAGCTCCAGTTCCATAATATGATAGATAACCCTCTACAGCAAATGGCTCCAACCTCTATCCCCAAACATATTTAACTCTTGCCACTCCCCTGAGGGCCACCATGTTATGGCATCATCAGAATGCTCGCTCTTTCCCAAACACAAATGGGCTTTTACAACTCCATGACACATGCCTGTTTTATAACACCCTGCTGGCTTTGTCATATCCTTCCTTGCCTAAAACTCCCACTTATCCTGCAAAACCCAGAACACTTCTTCCGTGAAGCCTTTCCTGACAATCACAGGCTGAATTAATTACTCCTCACTCTGAATGCCCACAAGAAAATGCTCACATTTCCATTATAGCATTTATTACATTATACTGGATTATTCATACATTTGTTCCCCTCACTAGACTCTGAAATCCCAAAGAGAAGGAATGAGACCTCATTCACTGGCAAATCCTGTGCTTGCCACCTACTTTGTGTTCACTGTAATGAGGGATATATATTACACAAGGAAAGCATCATTGATGTGTAACCTACATGTCACAACATCAGTAGGATTGACCTTAAATATGTAAAAGTTTTAGAACTATACATATATAGTGATATAAAGAAATGTTTTATGTGAAAATCTGACTTTACAAAATTTGAAGTTGGTTTATTAAAGTTTTGTCTTTCAGTTCCTCTGAATCAGGAGCTCTGCTGGTAATTGAAACATGCCTCAATTTAGGAAAGTGTGATATACATGTGCTTTTCAAAAATACTTCTATTATGTAAAGTAAAGTTCATTCTCTCCTTCACTCACACATACACATTGGATATGAACTAGTCTGTGAATATCTTTAGATTTTTTTCATAGTGTACAAATTTGGGTTAAGGATCTTTTTTTTCTTTATAGTTTATTCATATTTATAAGGAATAAATGTTCTACTGATAAAATCAACATAAATTTAGGAGTTTAACGACCATGTTGCATGAATTGTTAGTATTATTCTACTTTTGTCCAACATTATATCACATAGTTTATATAGATATATATACTTTATACCGTCTATATATGTTGACTCTCACAGATTTCTGATTCTTTCACTTTATTTTTAAATTCAAGCATATCCCTTTGGGTAATGTTATTTGGATGGTAAATATTTTCTTAAAATGATGTATAAATACACACATATATGTATGTGAGTATGGGTTGCATGTGTGTGAATATTTATTTCCTATAGTCCATTTGTTTATTATTTTATTATTTTTATATATTTATTATTTTGTTATATATTATAGTACATTCTACTATATATGTAAACATGCAGATATACATTGTGTATATATAAATTATATATATGCTTGTATGTGCGTATATATAGTCCATGTGTGTGTGTAGAGAGAGAACACATATATATATACACACTATATAGTCTATTACAGCCCACTGTTAATATATAGTTTCCTCATCCTTTGAGGCCAGCTAATGATTTCCAGATAATGAGACTGAATGGTACATCTGAACAGTCTGTACCACTGAACATTAATGCAGCTACCAAACTGCAAATGCTCGTCACCAGTCAGCTCTCTGTCATGAAACCCTGAGTTGAGTGTGTTCTGCAAATTGTGTTGTTTACTCTGTTGGGAGCTCTCCTGTCATTTATTTTGTGCTCTGGTGAACAATTTTGAGTCGTAATGACTGACAAATTGTGCAAGCGGTAGTGCTGGATCTGTCATAAAGAAACAAAGAAAGAGTGTTCAGCTCGAAGTTAAAATGTGCTGTTTTCCCGTGGCTTGGGGCTTTTTCAAAGAAATGGAAACCATGTTAAAGATCAGTAGGCCCTTAGGAGCTGGTTCAAGTCTTTTTGACATTGTGAGGGGTATTATAAGCATCCATTAACCTGGGAGAATTGACCTGGTGTGGTCAGGTACATCAGGACTTTAAGTCCTGATTTGAAGAGAGTGTGATTGTCAGTGTTGCTCCTCCAAAGAGATCTTGTTAAAGTGACCCTCTAAAATGTTGATCCCTTATGTGTTCCTGGGTTCCTCTCTCCCCTCTGTTCCTGCAGTCCTCTGCTCTCCAGTTAAACAGAGTGTGCTTGTATATTGCTCTGTATTCATTTACCTCGTTTGTCTCATCTTTACTTCAAATCAAGATGCACTAGATTTAGGTTTTATGTTTCTTTCTTCCTTTTACTAGCTTTTTCTTAAGTGAGAAGGATAATCGTGATTTCTTTTCCTTGGGAACATTTTTTTCTTAAATAGAGAACCATAGACCTAGTAGCCGTGTGTTAGAATCAATATCTGGGGGCAGGAAAAAGCATTACCAGTTTGAAAAGGCCCCCAGGTAATTCTGATGGACAGCAGGATGGGGGATCGCTGCTCAGTAGAAAATATGTCTACTTATTAAATTCTCAAAAGTTGATATTTCTCTTGCAGTGCTTTTCAAACACATGAAAAGCTTCCCCAGATGACTGATTATTTTACACTACTTTCCTCTCCCCCAGTTGAGAATTGGTTTTCAAACTAACCTAGATGATGGTATCTGACAATTTGGCCCAGAATTCTCACGTGGGAGGGATATCCTGTAAGGACTGTGGATCTTGCTGCTCATTCAGAGAATAAATATCTATTGAGCATCCATAGAGTGACTCCCTCTACACTAACTCTGTCCCTTCTCTTGAATGTTGAATGAGGGCTGCTTTTTGGTGGAATTAAAGGTGATTCACCTAAAGCCTGGATATCTCTGTATTTGACCAGGGGTCATGCAGTGAGGATCCAAGGGGCTCTGTCTCCTTAGGAAAATCAGGAAGTTTAGGAACTGTAAGAGGACACCTTTGTTGCACTGCGGAGGGTGTTGCACACAGGTGCCTTCAATAATGATTAACCACAGAGTCTGAACTGACGCCACATGAAGGACAATGAAACTCAGCACCTGTGTGAAGCTCCTGCGCTGGTTTCTACTCCAAAGTCATACAGAAAATGTTTGTTTTTCTCCATAGGTTCGAACCAGTGTCCTCCCTGAACATAAGGATCCCCTGCCAGAGGTTGGGGTAAGTGTTTCTTGTGTTTCCAAAAGGCACAGGCATTCCTTCCGAGGTAATCATTTAGATATTCTCTGGCCTCCTGTCTGGTGGCTGACAAATGAAATTGAGTTAGATTAACAGGGTGTGACTATGCGAGGAGGCACTGTCACTTATTTGCTGAATGGCATGGAATTTACTCCTTGTCTCCTGAAAATCATCCTCAAATGAATTCATATTTAGTTCAGCTGGTTAGAGATGAATTTGGAAATTGCCCTGCAGGTAGCTGAGATGCGATTTGGAGCCAACGTTCCTGGACCAACACAGGCTAGGGAATTTGCAGATGTGGGCTCTTCCACTTCAGTAAGGAGGCAGAGAACTAACTAGCTGTAGGACTGTGATATTTTCCGCTGCCTGCCACTTAAGCACTGTAATGCAGGTCAAAACAGAAGCTGCCACCAATGTGCAGTCCAGCGTTGGAAAATCCTGCTGAGGTTTTCCTGCTGCATCTGCACTGTCACATCTCCAGCCTTCAGAAGTTAGAAAAGCAAGAGAGTAATAGGTGATTTTTGCTTAGACAAGGCAGGACCAGGCAGTGGCAGCTCCTGAAAAGATAACCCAGCAGGCTGAGTCCCCAGGATCTGTGCATTCAGAGAGGAGGAAAAAGTCCAGAAATAAGTTGGGTCCAAGAAGCCCTGGGGGTGAACCAACTGAAAGGCCTGTTTGAAATTCCCTGAAATCCTACAGGCAATTGACAACCTTCTTCCAGGCCGCGTGTGGAGCTCTGTACTAGGTACTGTTCATTTCCTCATTGGCAACAGCCACCACCCCAACCTGCCAAAGGAGCCCTCCAAAAATATGCCCCAAAGTGTAAGTTGAATCCACCAAGGAGAATGCCAGCTATTTCTGCATCTGAGAGTGAAGGAGAAGGGAAAGGACACTCCTTTTGTGCTTTCTCATGCCTAACCCAAGCTTCTAGTTTCTTCTTGGGCAAGGCTGAATAACTCTCTTTGCCTCAAGTGAATCTTCATGCTTTGTTTTCTGCCTGTCCCTTCAACCACTTGTGCTGCTCACACTTGCATCACCCATCTCTGTGCCCAGACTGCATGGAGGGCTTAATTTAGTTTGTCCAAAGGGACCAGCAAGTTCTTCCAGCTTCAGGCCTCCATTGCCACAAGCCACATGACCCTCTTCCTGCCCAGCTGCTGCTCACCACCAGCTCCCTCTCCCTGCTCAGGGCTCAGGTCACATGCCTGTTGCTTATTCCTACTACCCCAGGTGCCCTCCTGCAAACTAGGTCATCACTAGCAAGCTCTCATCACACCCTTCACACCTCCTTCAGAAGACAACAGACCTTGTGAAATCTGTAACTATTAATAGGTTAATACGTTATTTTATCGAGCAGTTCCATTTATTTTTTGGTGTTCAAGAAAGATGAACCGATTTAATTTTTTCTCCGCTAACTGCTCACCCCCTCAACTTGCTCTGTGTTAAATCCTCCTAGCTTGAGGCTTCAATGACGTCCTGGCCTAATTGTGTAAATTTCCCCCATTTTCTTTTCACATTCAAGTTCTTGGGAATACATTTAATTCATGTTAAAACTTGTGTCCTGTGGTATTGTGATTTATAATAGGGAATATGTGTTTGGTCTTTGTCTACAGTTCTGGCACAGAGCTCCTAAAACCCTTGAAATTTCTTAAGTGTTGAGACAGATACATGGGTGTCTTTTGTTAGGTTAATGAGGTGACTTTTGGACCTCACTTAAGGATGGGAGCTGGTTGCCAGGAGAACCAATTATGTGATTAGAGGTTGGAACTTTCAGTCCCACCCCCTGACCTCTGGGAAGGGGAGAGAGGTTGGAGGTTAAATCAATTGCCAATGGCCAAGGATTTAATCAATCATTCCTATGTAATGAAACCTCTATAAAAACCCAAAAGGATGGGGTTCAGAGAGCTTCTGGGTTATGAACACCTGGAGATTTCGGAGGAAAGCGTGGAAGCTCTGTGCCCTTTCCCCATACTTTGCCCTATTTATCTTTTCATCTGGTTGTTGATTCATATCCTTTAATATCCTTTGTAATAAATCAGTAATCTAGTAAGTAAATGGGTTGCCTGAGTTCTGTGAGCCACTCTTGCAAATTAATCAAACCCAAGGAGGGTTTCCTGGGAACCTCTGACTTGTAGCTGCTCAGTCAGAAGCACAAGTAACAACTTGGACTTGTAATTGGCATCTGAAGTGAGGGCCGAGCCATCTTATGGGACTGAGCCCTCAGCCTGTGGCATCTGATGCTATCTCCCAGTAGATAGTGCCAGAATTGAGTTGAATCACAGGACACTCACCTGGTGTCAGAGAATTGCTTGGATGTATGGAGAAAAAACGCACATTGGAATTGGATGCAAAATCCTTTAAGTCTCTTCATTAAATTATTTATTTCTCCTTTCTCTTCCCACTGTTTCCCACTGCAGGCTATAGACATCTCTGACTCTGGCAACTTGTGGGAGAGAGGGAGCATAGTCTGATTCTCACACATGGCGTACCCTTTCCTCTTTTTATTGTTCAGTGCTGCGGCGAGGAGAGAGGAAAGGGGAGACAGATTCCTTCTGTGCTTGCCCTTGGTGAAGGTGCAGTTCCCCTTCTGATGGTTTTGGTGCTTCTCAGGCTGACGCTGCCTGTCAGAGTTCTCCATGTGGCAGACGTTGAAATGCTGGCTCTCTTGTGAGCAGAATATATGTATTCCTGGAGGCCTTGTAGGCTCCTTCCAACTGCATATTTCCCTATGATGGAGGATCTGATTCTGGTGCAACCTTCTCTGCTGCCCAGGCTCACCCTACACTCTCTTGCTACTGAGATCCACTTTTCCAGCATGTGGCCCTAGCTCAGCTGCTTTCTGTGCTGTCCATTTGACCCATGTAAAATTCGCATGTATTAGCCATGCCACATGGAAGAAATTCAGGCTGCCCACTGGTCTCCTCTCTCAGCTCAGCCATCTCCTTGTTGACCCTTTCTACAAGCCCCAGCAGCATGGTACTAGATAGTCAGTGATTATCAAAGGAGAGACAATCACCAGTCCCCAACAGTGGGGAGGTAAGGATGGTTGGACACCTCCAAGCTTGATAAGTGATTTTTTGGGATCAGATTCCCTTGACTTTGGCTTTGGCTTTGGAGATAGAGGTGTCTTCTTGAGGGTGATTAACAGAGAGATTAGCCTCATTTCTTAAATAGTATACATCCCCAAATGCTGACCTTCCCTCTCTTCTAACACTACCTTTGTATTAACTGTATATGTCATGGCTATCAATAGGCCGCTTTCTCTGAACTGGCTCCTCGTTAAGCATTGTGAAGGGGTTGATAGCTCCAACGACGGGAGGTTCTCTGAACTTATAATGTGGTGCATTTGGTAACAAAGATTCAGCTATAATTCCTGCACCAAAAGAAAGGTCTCAATTGACATTCTGTGATATGTCTGTTGTATCACTTAGGAATGCATTCAGAGGCATTCACTGACAGACAGTGTCTTAAAGGTAGTAGGCTTGTTTTTCTCATGTTAGAAAAAGTCTTGGGGGAGGTTGTCCAAGACTGCAGCTACTCAAAAATGGCTTCATGCAAGCAGGCTCTATCCATCTTCCTGCTCTTCCTTTCTTAGAGTATTGTCTGCTCTGACCATAGCACCTCCAAGTCTCATATTCCAGGCTGGGAAAGAGTAAAGGGCAAAGGCTCAGATCATCTGATTCTGTTCTTTCAATTCTGCAAAACAACAGCTTTCCAGGAATTCTCAGTTGGAATACTAACACTTAGATATCACTGAGAAGAGCTGAGTCCCTAGGCAGAAGGCAATCTGGGTACAATTCCTTCTTAAACAAAATCAAAGTGCTTTTAGTACTGAAAGAAGGGCAGAATGGGTATTAGGTGTTAGTAAGGTCTCCGCACTACTACTAGATGTTAGACTCCATGAGAATGAAGACCCTGCTTATTTTGCTCACTCTAACAGTCCAAGCTTTGTGCCTGGAAATTAGCAAATTACGATATCTGTATTGAATGTATTGGGAAGTATACCGTAATTTTGGTTTGCCAACCATCTTATATTTTTTAGAACCACCAGAATTAAAAGAGGGGGATGGTCACTAAAAACAAAAATAATATGGTAAATATCTAGTACATTCTGTGTCACATCAGAACTCAATAAAATGGCAATTATATTACTGAACTAAATCTCAGGTATAGTAAGAACGAGACTAAATAAGAGCTGACATCAGCATGCCGTGGCTTCTAACACTCTCAGAGAACATGATATTCTAGATAAGAATTACCCCATCTTGAGCACCAATGAAGTTCTACCAGTTAATAAACATCTCATCAATTAATCCTCAAAATATTTCTTTGGACACTGCAAAAAGAGTCTGACAGTTCAATTTCTTGGTCAAGAAAGTAGAGCTAATAATGGCTTTGCCATCATGTTAGGACTCTAGCGATTAAGTACTCCAATTAAAACATGAGCGAAAATCTTTCATTGTAAATCCTTCAAATATGCTCCATACATTTCTTTACATTCTTAAGAAGCACCTACTGGATGCACCCAAACCTTTGTTGATGACTTAGTCAAGCAGATGCCAATCTGTGCTGTGAGAGCTTTTGAGGTGTATTCATGGTAAATATGTAATTTTATAGTATATGACTTTAACCTAAAGTGCTTTTCAGTGTTTTCTTTGGACCGTTCACCAACTTTTAGCAGATTTCCCCCCAATTCTTTTTTCTTTCTGATGTCTTTTTTTCAATGTGAATAGTTCATATCCTGTTTGCCTTCCTATAGATGAGAAACCATGTAACTGTATCCGTTAGGGTTGACAGTGAAGATAAAGTACCTGGGTTATGAAAAAGGGCCTGTCCTGTAAGTTATGTGTACAAGATGTTGTTTATCCACCTCAAGACATCAACTTCGGATCTTCAAACACCTTTTAAAATTTACACAGTTCCTGTATATAGTTTTGTGAGAATAGGTCAAAGTATTATTGATAGATTCATTTAGCATCTAA